TGAAACAATATGTCGCCAAAGTGACCTCTTTTGTGTAGATTGGTTTATTTGGATGTTTAGATGTGTGTGTGTTTCTTCATGCGAGTATTAACCAGCCCAAAGGAAGGTTAATACTTGGCCGAATTACATACATACTTGTGGTGGTGAATGTGTGACAATTATAAGGTTTCCATGTAAATAATAAATCAATCCAAAGATAGGTTTATTATTTGACAGGAGTTATTGTCAATGTTCGATCACTACACCGAGAGTACTACTTGCAATTAGTATTACTGTCCAAAGACTTGATATTAATGTTGCACTAGGTATCTTGAGATGGGGCTTACCATTATTTGAATTTATTGTTCATTCAATATGGATATGAGCATAATTAATTGTTTCTTTCTGTTCTCTCTACAGCTAGTTCATCTGCTACTACAATATCTGCTAATGTCAATTCAATTCCCATACTTAATGGAACAAACTTCAAGGATTGGAAAGAGAACATATTGATTGTTCTTGGCTGCTTGGATCTTGACCTTGCACTTCGGGTTGAGGAACCCACTCCTCTTACGGAAGAAAGTTCTCCTGATGAAAAGAGGGACTTTGAGAGGTGGGCTCGCTCAAATCGCATGAGTCAAATGATCATTAAGCACGGCATTCCGGAAGCCTTTAGAGATGCAGTATCCGAAGGGATAACTAATGCCAAGGAGTTCCTTGTCGAAATTGAGAAGCGTTTTGTGAAAAACGATAAGGCTGAAACAAGCACGCTTTTGCAAAGCTTGATTTCAATGAAGTACAAGGGCAAGGGAAATTTAAGGGAGTACATCAGGGAGATGTCTCATATTGCTTCAAAACTTAAAGGTCTAAAGCTCGAGCTATCTGATGACTTGCTCGTTCATTTGGTATTGATCTCGCTTCCTGCATAGTTCAATCAATTTAAGATCAGTTATAACTGTCAGAAGGAGAAATGGTCTTTAAATGAGCTCATTTCATATTGTGTGCAAGAGAAAGAAAGGTTGAAGCAAGAAAGAATTGAAAGTGCTCACTTGGTAAGCACTTCTAAGGATAAGGGCAAGAAAAAGAAGAAGGAATATGAAGCTGCTCCTAAGGGTCCAGCACAAAAGAAATGAAAGGAAGACAAAGATACTTGTTTCTTTTGCCATCAGTCTGGACATATGAAGAAGGACTGTGCCAAATATCACGCATGGCGTACAAAGAAAGGTACACTTCTTACTTTGGTCTGTTCTGAGGATAATTTAGCTTCAGTACCTAGAAACACTTGGTGGATAGATTCTGGTGCTACTACTCATATAAGTGTTTCTATGCAGGGCTGCCTAAACTACCGAAAGCCAAGTGATGATGAAAGATACATCTATGTGGGTAATGGCAAATCGGTGGAAGTTGATGTAATAGGGACTTTTAGGTTGTTATTAAGAACTGGTTATTATTTGGATTTGAAAGACACTTTCGTTGTACTGTCTTTTAGACGGAATTTAATTTCTGTTTCTTCGTTGGACAAATTAGGTTATTGTTGTTCATTTGGAAACAATCAGTTTAGTCTTTCTTTAAATTTCAATATTATTGGTACTGGTTCATTATCTGCATATGATAACCTGTATTTGCTTGATATTATTGCATCATATAATGAGACCTTGCATGTGGATTCACGTGGTACTAAACGCAAATTAAATAAAGAAAATTCTGCAACATTATGGCACAAGCGCTTAGGTCACATCTCAAAAGCTAGAGTTGAACGACTTGTGTAAGATGGTATTTTGGATTCCCTTGATTTCACCGATTTTGATGTTTGTATCGAGTGTATCAAGGGAAAACAGACCAAAACAAGGAGATCAGGTGCTAAAAGAATTTCAGATGTCTTAGAATTGATACACACAGATATTTGTGGAACATGCCCTACAGCTTCTTGGAATGGCCAACAATATTTTATATCATTCATAGACGATTACTCACGTTATGGGTACCTATATCTCATACATGAAAAGTCTGAGTCACTGGACGTGTTCAAAGCTTTTAAAGCTGAGGTTGAGAATCAACTCAACAAAAGGATAAAAAGCGTTAGGTCTGATCGTGGTGGTGAATACTACGGCAGATATGACGGTTCAGGTGAACAATGTCCGGGACCATTTGCTAAATACCTAGAGGAATGTGGAATCGTCCCACAATGCACCATGCCAGGATCGCCTAGCATGAATGGTGTAGTTGAAAGACGAAACAGAACTCTTAAGGAGATGGTAAGAAGTATGATTAGTCATTTCACCTTATCAAAATCACTCTGGGGAGAAGCATTAAAGACTGCAGCTTATATTTTGAACAGAGTACCAACTAAGGCTGCTGTTAAAACACCTTATGAACTTTGGACAGGCAGAAAGCCTAGTGTAAAGTATTTTCACATTTGGGGATGTCCAGCTGAGGCTAGGCCTTATAGGCCACATGAAAAGAAATTGGACTCCAAAACAATTAGCAGCTATTTTATTGGCTATTCTGAGCGATCCAGGGGCTATAAATTTTATGATCCCACACTTAAGTCAATTTTTGAAACGGGAACCGCAACATTTTTTGAGGATGTTGAGTTTGGGGAGAGAAATAAGGTTAGAGACATTGTCTTTGAGGAAGAAGTTGAGGAAGGATCGGTTTCGATTCCTACTATTGCTTTTGACAATGTACAGGTTTCTATACCTGTTGTTGATCAAGAAGCATATCCAGAACCTCAACCAGACAATGTTGAAGTACCTCCCATCCAAAATGAGGTAATTATTCCAGAAATACAAACTCAACAACCTCAAGAGTCAATACCATTAAGGAGATCCACGAGAGAGAGGAAAAGTACTATTTCAGATGATTTCATAGTATTTCTCCAAGAACATGAGGAAAATAATGGAATGGTGGGAGATGATCCAATCAATTTCCATCAGGCCGTGCAGGGTTCTAACTCTCAAAAGTGGATTGATGCCATGAATGAGGAGTATAAGTCTATGCAAGACAATAAAGTTTGGGATCTTGTCCCATTACCTGAAGGTATGAAGCTCATTGGTTGTAAATGAATTTTTAAAACCAAGAGGGATTCAAATGGTAATGTGGAAAGATATAAGGCTCGTCTTATGGCTAAAGGCTTTACCCAAAAGGAAGGTATTGACTTCAAAGAGACTTTCTCTCCAGTTTCAACGAAAGACTCTTTAAGGACAATTATGGCACTTGTTGCGCACTTTGATCTTGAGTTACATCAGATGGATGTCAAGACGGCGTTTCTCAATGGCGACATTGATGAGACAATTTATATGTTGCAACCAGAAAACTTTGTGTTAGGAGACTCGAAGAAAATGGTTTGCAAATTAAAGAAATCCATCTATGGGCTCAAGCAAACTTCCCGTCAATGGTATCACAAATTTCATCAAGTCATTATCTCATTTGGTTTTGAGGTAAATGTCGTTGATGATTGTGTGTATCATAAGTTTAGTGGGAGTAAGCATATTTTCCTAGTTTTGTATGTTGATGACATACTGCTTGCCACTAACGATATAGGCATGTTGCACGAAACCAAGAGATTTTTATCAAAGAATTTTGAGATGAAAGATCTTGGTGACGCCTCTTTTGTATTAGGGATTCAGATACATCGGGATCGTTCTCGAGGTATTCTTGGACTGTCACAAAAGAGCTATATTGATAAAATATTTAAGAGGTTTGGCATGCAAGACTGTAAACCAGGTGACACCCCTGTCGCTAAGGGAGACAAATTTAGTTTCAAACAGTGCCCACAAAATCACCTTGAAGCTAAGGAAATGCAGAAGATTCCCTATGCATCAGCTATTGGGAGTCTAATATATGCTCAAGTATGTACACGCCCAGATATAGCATTTATTGTTGGAATGCTAGGCAGATATTTAAACAACCATGGGATGGATCATTGGAAGGCAGCCAAAAGGGTTATGAGGTATTTAAAGAGAACAAAGGATTATATGCTCACATATAGCAGATCAGATCAGTTAGAGATCATAGGGTACTTCGATTCTGATTTTACTGGATGCCAAGATAGTAGAAGATCCACATCAGGTTATATTTATCTGCTAGCTGGAGGAGCTATTTCCTGGAAGAGTACCAAGCAGACACTTATAGCTTCTTCTACCATGGCAGCAGAGTTTGTAGCATGCTATGAGGCATCTAATCATGGAATATGGCTGCGAAATTTTGTCACTGGGCTGCGCATTCTGAATGGCATAGAAAGACCACTAAAGTTGTATTGTGACAACAACTCAGCAGTTCTATATTCTAACAACAACAGGAGCTCATCTAAATCAAAACATATTGACATTAAATTCCTGGTTGTGAAGGAAAGAGTACAGAGTGGACAGATTTCTATAGAGCACATTGGAACAAACTCCATGATTGCGGATCCGCTTACTAAGGGATTACCACCCAAGGTCTTTCATGAGCACACCGCTCATATGGGTGTTGTACTTTTTGAGGATATCATGTTTTAGTGGGAGTTTGTATTCTTATTGCTTTATATATGTTTAGTTCTTTGAACACATTTATGTATTTGGATTTTTTTGTACAGAAATAAAGTATTCAGTTCATTCCACTCTGTTATTATGTTCAGTACTGATCTCACTTAAGAAATAAGGTTGGACCAGTTGGAAATAGACATGTTCGGATCACATAACATGTAATTTCCATGCTACACTCCCATAATTGATCTATGTCATTTGGTTGTATGGGTGTACGTGACCATTGATGGATTTAGTCACGCTAAATGTGACGAAAATCGCTTTGATCCTACATCGATGTAACTAATGGACGAGATTGTTTGGAAATACCTTTAATAACTATAGCACAATTTTGAGCTCATAAGTCTGTACACATTTATAATGTAACATGTTTGGCTCAGTGGGAGATTGTTGAAAAAAATTCCAACTTTGGGGGCCACACATGTACATTTATTAGAATGTGTGGTGCTATTTTAAAGTAAATATAGTCGATAAAGTGATCCATTGGATTTAATTTTGGACTAATGGGGTATTAAATTTTATGGGATTAAAGTGTAGAAACCAGAAGGTGTTATTTTGAATTGATGAGTGGCCGATTTGAAATAACTTAAAGTTAATAACTGCCAATAGCAGTTATTTTAAAAGTGGGTATGGTCCCCAATTTGAACGTGATTTTTTTTTATGATATCTCTGCATTCCCATCAACAGAGACTTTTCAAGAAAACCAAAAGGAAGGAAAATCACGTATCAATTGGAAGATCAAAACCCAATTAAAGCAGTAAGATTCATGGATCAAGGTATGTTTCCGCACTTTTTGTTGTCTCTTTGATTTCAACATGGAATTTATGATTTTGTGAAAGGATTTTATGAATATGGTTCTTTTCAAATTTATGCAACAGTAAAGGCGATGAGTAAATGAGTGGTAATGTGAGGTTTGACGGTCTGCTACAGCAATTTCCATAACACGAGTCAACAGTCACTTAACTATGCTAATCTTTAAAAAATTATTATTAGATCACCGAAATTTAGCCACGTTTGGCCCCCATTTTTTTGAAAGTAAAAATGGACGAAATAGTTTATTTTCTTGAAAAATGAAAGGTTGAAAAAGAAGTAAAAATTTTCGATTTACGTGTAATATTATTTTATGAAAGATTGTGTGATTGAAAATAGGAGAGAAAAATGTAATGTAATTTAATGTAACGGTGACCTAAAAGATTGCTTGATATTTCCCCAAATTTAAATAAAATTATTAATCAATCACTTCTATCATTTCTATTGTTGTTATCTATATAGGAGCAATTAGTAATTTTAGATGAATATGTAGTAATTTAAATCATTATACAGTGAGCCATGAATAATTTTTTAGAGATCGATAACTAAGTTTTCGCTTGGCCTCTATTAAATTACATTATATTACAATCTATTTTTTTATGTTATTTTCAATCGTACAACCTCTCATAAAATAATATTACATATAAATCGAAAATTTTTCTTTTTTTTTAAGTATTCATTTTTTAAAAAAAAAACACTATTTTGCCCATCTTCTCATTACCAAAAAATGGGTTTGAGGGCTAAATAGTAACCATTGTTTAAATTAAAAAAAAAAAAAGGTTGAACCCCAATTTTGA